ATCAACAGAAGAAGAGGAAGGAAGACTTTTAAGATAAATAAGACCTGAAAGTGCAGTGGACCCTGCAAGAGGATTACAGGTGAGAGGGGGGAAAAAAGATTTAAAGGACACTTATCTGGAGGAACTTAAGATGGACGTTTAAACCTGTAAACCCCCCCGGTGCCTGAAAAGGAAAAGAGAGAGGGAGGAGGAGGGAAGGAAAGAGGAAGGAAAAGAAAAAGAGACAAAATGAAAAATAAAGCTATAAAAGGAGGAGGGCCAAAGGCCTCCCAAACAGGCTTAATTAAAAAATATATACCCTCACAAGAGAAACGGACCCCTGAGAGACAAAAGGGAATAAATGGAAGAAGTGAGATGGAAAATAGTATTGGAGAATGCTCCAGACTCTCCCTGGGAATTGCTAACATCAGCCAAAATATAGAAGATGTTGATATAGAAAAAAATAGTGGTGTTGGAGAACATAGAAGAACAAGAGAAGAGCTCACAATTGCCCGCTAAAATAGAAATAGCAGAAATTTTAAAGGATTAGAAAAATCCTTGAAACAAGAAATGGCGAAACTGCTTAAAGTTCTGGGGCAGGTATTATCAAGGGTGGAGGAGACGGAAGAAAAATTAGATAAACATGCCCAAGCTATACAGGTCTTAGAAAAATGGATGACGGAAATGAGAAAAGAACAAAGAAATTTGCTATATAAATGGGAAGATCGGGAAAACAGGGATAGAAGACTCAACCTAAGGATACAAGGTCTCCCAGAGATCCCTCGAGAAAATCTGATGGAAACAATAGGGAAAATGCTGGATATAGTAATGGACAGATCTGCAACTGAGCCTCTTAAAATCGATAGAGTTTATAGAATCGGAAGATTCCAACAAGAAGGTAGAAAGGAAAAACCGAGAGATGTAATTGTTCAATTCCATCACTATTGAGATAAAGAAGACATTTGGAGAAGATAAAAGGAAGAGCAGTAATAAGATATGGGGAAGTAAATATGCAGATTTTTGCTGACCTAGCAGCTGAAACATTAATGAGGAGAACTTTGAAGCAATTACTAGAAGAAATGAGAAAGCAGAACGTTCAATATAGTTGGGGATTCCCAGCTTGCTTAATCGCATGGAAAAATGGCCGTTCAGCAAGATTGAAGTTTCCTGAAGATTTGAGAGACTTTTGAGAGAGACTTGAGTTTCAGAAAATAGTTATTCCCGGTTAAGAGGAAGGGGAGTTGTAGGATATGGAAAAAGGTGGCAGGCAGCGTGAGTGATGAGGGGGAGGAGAAGGAGTAGGGTGGTTTTTTTTTTTTTTTTGTTTTTTTTCCCTCCCTTCCTTATTTTGGTGCCCCTCCTTTTTCCCCGTTTTCGGGGGAGTAGAGGGGGGGGAGAGAGGAGTAATTAAATTTTTTTTTTTCTTCTCTCCTCTCCCCCGGTTGAGTTCCTAGAATATGGTGGGACATGGGGGATGAGATATGCAAACTGATGAGGTGTGCATACTCGGAGCCCCAACTTAAGGTGGAATTGGCTGTGGGATTAGGACCACAAATGATTCGTAGGCAAACTAAAAGCCTAAGGGGAGATATAGAGGGTTGTGGGGGGAGGGAGGGGGGGAGAAGGAATAGCGAGGTAGGAGTTAGTTTTGCGCTCTGCGAGAAAGATGGAGGTATATTAGTCGGAAAGAATCCTTGGGAAGGAATGGGGAAATATGGAAAAAAAATGGAGGAGGTTAATTTTGTGAATTACAATGTCAAGGGGTTAAATAGCCCAGGGAAAAGATTTAAGATTCTTAAAGAAATACAACAACAATTCTCTGCAGTGGTGTTTATACAGGAAACACATTTAGTGCAAGAAACAAATGTGATGTTACAGTCCAGGTATTATCCAACCTGGTTTTATGCAGATTCCCCAAATAAACGGACTAAGGGTGTTGCAATAGGTTTTGCTAAAAATATAATGTTTAAGTTGGAAGAAAAGATGGAGGACCCGGAGGGGAGATTCTTGTTCTTAAAGGGGAAATTGCAGGAAATAGAATGTACACTGGCATTAAGGAGTTGAAATCCTTGAAGAAAATGTTACATCAGTGTCAACTTGTAGATATATGGAGAATTAAACATCTGAAGGATAGAGATTATACGTTCTACTCTGATGCACAAGATTAGATTATATATTGTTGGACCACAGACTCATGGGGGTTTATTTACTAAAGCTGGAGTGTCCAAAATCAGACTCACTTCTGCATAGAAACCAATCAGCTTCCAGGTTTCATTGCCAAAGCTTCATTGAACAAGCTGAGGTTAGAAGCTGATTGGTTTCTATGCAGAATAGAGTCTGATTTTGGACTCTCCAGCTTTAGTAAATAAACCCCATGGAGTCTTTGGTTAAAGTAAATATAGAAGTTATAACAATATCGGACCATGCATCTGTTACAATGAAGTTATGGGGAAGAGAGCAAAGTAAAGGAAACATATGGAAATTAAATGAGACACTTCTCCAGGATCATGAGACGGAACAAAAGATTAAAAAAGAAATAGAGCAATATTTTGAAAGAAATGAGACTGAAGAAGTGTCAGTGGCATCGGTGTGGGAAGCTCATAAGGCCTATATTAGAGGAATCTTGATAGCGATTGGGGTGAAGAAAAAATAAATACACTTCTTAAAGAATTATGTGAATTAAACAGATGCATGAAAAGAAAGTAACAAAAGAGATTAAACAGAGCATAATAAACAAACAAGAAGAACTAAATAATTGGAGGAAGAAAAGAGGAGAGTGTTTGTTTAATAAGATGACAAGTGAGAGATATCGTTGGGGAGATAGACCAGGAAAATATTTAGTGAGGGCTCAGAGAAAAAAGAAATCTAGGAACTATATAGAGAAAATAAGAGATAATGGACAACTAATGTATTCAACTAAGGATATTGCAAAAGTATTTAAAGAATAATATAATAAGCTATACACTATCACTCACATAAAAGAAAAAGAAAGAATTAAAAAAGGCAGGTTTACAGAAATTAAGAGAACAGTTAATATCCCTTGAAAAAGTAATAGCACAGGAAGAAATCCAAGTAGCATTGAAGAGTACTACAGTAGGGAAAAGTCCAGGACCGGATGGATATACTGTGAGATATTATAAAAAAATTTAAAGATCAATTAATACCCTGATTGAGGATATATATGAACGCATTGGAAGGGGAGATGGAAATGAGGGAGGAATCCTTACAAGCTCATGTTATAATTTATACAGAAAGAAGGAAAAGATGATACTCGGTGCTCCAGTTATAGACCAATATCCTTATTGAACATAGATACTAAACTATATATGCAAAAGTTCTGGCAAATAGGTTGAAAGACCTAATGCTGGAATGTATTCATATAGATAAAGTGGGTTTTCTCTCGGGGAGGGAGGGTAGAGATAATGGATTAAGATCTTTGCTTCTAATATAAAACAGCAAGAAAGAAAAAAAACAGCTCCAGCGTTGTTATGGTCGGTTGATGCTGAAAAAGCTTTTGATAGATTAGACTGGGGATACATGCTGGATACACTGGAAGTTTTAGGGATAGGCCCCAGAATGAGAGAATGGATAAGGAAACTATATTGCCAACCTTCTGCAGCAATTAAGGCCAATGGAGTACTTTAGGATGCATAATGGGATATGACAGGGATGCCCACTGTCACCTTTGCTATTTGTCCTGTCCCTGGAATCTCTCCTAGCAACAACAAGGAAAAATATAGATATAAAAGGAATCTGGATAGGGGAGACAGAACATAAAGTAGCAGCCTATGCAAGTGACATGCTGTTTTATGTGGTTAACCCTAGGATAACATTGCCCAACCTAATAAAAACACTGAAGGAATATGGGGAGCTGTCAAATTAAAAAATTATTTCAACCAAAACAGAGATCCTAAATATAACACCGAGTATAGCACATAGACAATGTAAAGATAATTCACCTTTATGTTGGCGTTAATGTGGGGAAAGGGGCACAATGGTACACATCTGGTGGGAATGTCCTAAAATTCAGGAGTATTGGGAGGGAATAATTCACCTGATTCAGAAGATAACTGAGATTAAAAATCCAAAAGACCCTGAGATTTGTCTTTTTCATGGTACTAAGCTCACAGTGGAAAAATATAAAAATTCTGGTTTATTGTATTTTATAAAAGGAACAAAAGGTTTGATACCCAAATTCTGGAAAGAACAAGAGGCACCAAAAATAAGATTGGATAGGAAAGGTGAATCAGATATATAAAATGGAGGAACTTTATCATATAGATGTAGATAAAATGGAGAGTTTTGTAAAAGATGGGAAAAAATGGGAGGATTTTAAGAGATCAAGTCAATATGTAGAATTTAGAGAAATAGAGATGATAGGAAGTATATAAGTTTGAAAGTAAGTGAAAGTAGAAGATGAAATTTCTAGGGCTTCCAAGAGAGACGAAGGACGTAGAGCGGAAATGGAGAAGGAAGGGGGGGGGGGTTAGGGATGTGAATGGGGGGGAAATAGTAGAGTGATTTATATGTCAACAATAATATTTGATAAGAAACCGTTGTTTTTATTGTATGTAATAGTTTAAATGGAAAAATGTAATACATTATTTATAACAAAAAAAAAAAAGATTGTGTACATGAAGGGGAATCCGCTTCTCGTTTTGTGATTTGCTTCCAATGCTTTTGTGCATACTGAGGCATGCTGGTAGAGGGAGGAGTTATACCAGACTCATTATTGTCTATGAATCCTGTGTCCCTTAATGAACCCCAAGAAACAGGTTTTTATGGTAGCAGAAAAATCTGATTATATTAAAATGTTACTAAACCCCGACCCTGCATTCACTATATCTCCCACAGTACACAATACAAGGAAATGCAATTATTTTAATAAATTTAAGCTGCAAACTGCCTTTTCTCATCAGCTGTTAGAGCAGTCTTGAGATTTCTATCAGTGTCCAGCAGATCACTGGTTAAAGCTTGTAGGAGTTGAATTTCTGCTTTAGGAGGATGCAAAACCCTTGACCTCTGTCTGGACAGTGCTGACTGACCCTCTGCTGATCACATGCGCTTTCCCAAGAAAAAAAAAAAAACCTCTCTAGCAATTCACACCAATACACATCCTCTTAGATCAGAAAGAAAACTCCTCCTACAAGCTTTAACCATTGTTCAGCTGAAATCACAAGACTGCACTATGCTTTGCTGATGAGAAAAGGTATTTAGCAGTTTATATTTACTAAAATAATTGCATTTCCATGTTCTGTGTACTGTGGGAGACCAGATATAGTGAATGCAGGGTCTTGGGTTTAGTAACACGTAAGGAATTAGACAATTTCAGGAAATATCAGTTCGCTAGTATAACCCTTTGCTCTTCTGATAATGCCTGATTACTCTTTTAGCTGGCAGATCCTTTATCCTCCCTTCCTTACATAACTTCTATTGTAGCTGCAAAAAGGAAGTAGTAATGGGGAAAGCTATAGCATGTCACTTTAAGTGACAACCATGAGTCTGCTAAGGTTGTTGGCATCACATTCAAGATAGCAGTACCCAGCAGCAGTCTCAGGTCAGATGTGTTGGAAAAAAGTTGTCTTTAAATTATATGGGTACATTGCAGAGGTTTTACCAACTTTTTTTTCTTTAGATTCGATACAAGGGATGATAGTCTCGGATGCAATTTGGGCAGCATTGGATATAAATAAGGGGGAGGTGGCAGTATAAAGAAAGAAGAGACAAAAATTTAAAAAAAAAAAAAAAAGTTTGTATATGTTTCATCTGTTGTGTAACATAGCATTAACGTCATAGAGATTACTTTATTTTACAAATAAACATACAAAATTCAAAGGTTATCAGATGCAAAGCCCACAGACAGGTATTAAAGCCCAACTGCAGGCAGGAAAAAAAATTATCCCTTGCAGTGGGGCTACACCCACAGTGTTTTTTCTTTGCCAAGGGGTAAGGCGAAGCCCTTATACGTAACTGAACCTCTGCTTACCTCAGCAAACAGCACTCTCCCACAATCCAGTGGTGGACTCTTCTTGGTGTCCTCCACTCCAGACCAGGGCTAGGGACTCTGCGCTTGATGACGTCAGGACTCAAGACCGCAAGAGCACGGGGTTGCAGGAGCTGCAGGCACTAGGCTTGTGTAGAGAAGAGCAGAGGATTGGGTGTGTATGACTCCTTTCATCTTTCTGTTTGTTTGCCTAAAGAAGATAACTTTCCTCAGGGTCTGAGTAATATATTTTTTTTTCTGAAAAGGGGACAGTAGGCCAAATAAGTTTAAGAACCTCTGCTATAGAAGTAGCAAGCCTACATATTCTGCAGGTAGAATAAACACCACTCTTTTTTGCCCTTAACCATTTGCCGCCCGCCCTATGGCCGAATGGCGGTCGGCAAATGTCATCAGCGCCCTATGGCCATATGGCGTCCTCCTGCACATACGCAGATCACGTTCCTGCAGAGCCGCACAGCCTGTCACCGGCCGTGTACCTCGGACGCGGCCGATGACAGATCTGAGTATCGGCCCCCGTTGCCAGTACCATGTGACCTGCTGTGACCAATCACAGCAAGTCACATGACAGTTGTATACAATGGATGGCTTCATTCATGCCATCCATTGTATACTAGTGTCTAGCTGTGAATGGTCACAGCTAATCACATGCGCATGTCATGTGATTAGCTGTGGCCAAATCACTGCTAAGCACAAAAAAAAAAAAAAACCCTGAATGAATCAATGTCATTCAGGTAAATGCTTGTTTATAGAAAAGTAATTCTTTGCTATAAGCAAATTGTGTAAAAATAAAAAATACTGATCACTTCCCCAAAGTAGTACAATGTTACTATGGTAACATTGTACTACTTTGGTCATAGTGAAATATGAAAAAAAAAATCTTGAATAAAAATTTAATAAAAAATAAAAAAAATATATATATTTTTTTTTTTTCATACTGTCACCAGTCAGTGTCCCTGATCACCACCATGCCAGTTATATGATGACGCTGTACTGCACTGGTGACAATATGTAAAAAAAAAAAAATAGTGAAACTAATTTTTTTAATTTTTTCATTTTCCGAAAAATTGACAAAAAAATACAATTTCAGAAAACTCGCCATGCCTCTTATGAAGTACGTCGGACTGTCTACTTTGCAAAAAGGGGTCATTTGGGGGATATCTGTACTGTTCTGACATTCTTGGACCTCAAGAAATTAGATTAGCTGTCAGTACTTCAGGATTGATGAATATTCAGATCTATACCATAGTTTGTGAACTCTATAACTTTCCTACAAACTAAAAAATACATCCTAATTTGGGTTATTTTCACCAAAGACATGTAGTAGAATACATCTTGGCCTAAATTTATGAAGAACAATTACCGTATTTTTCGCTCCATAAGACGCACTTTTTTTCCCCCAAAAAAAGGGGGGAAATGTCAGTGCATCTTATGGAGCGAATATAGAGCGGCTGGTCTGGTATTTTCACCGCCGCCGTGTCAGAATACCGGGCCGGCCGCTCAGCTCTGCAGTGGGACCTTACCTGTTCCTCTATCCAGCGGCGCGCTGTCTTCCCGGCTTCTGTAGTGTACGTGACAGCCGGGTCCCAAGTGCGCATGCACAAGAAGCGGTTCTCTTTGTGAATGGTAAGGCGATACCTGGGACACATGACACATCCCAGAAGCCGCCGGACCAATCGCATAGCGCAGCGCTTCTCGCGCATGCGCACTGGGCATCCGGCTGTCCGCCGAGCGCCCACACTACAGAAGCCGGGTAGACAGCGCACGGCTGGATAGAGGAACAGGTAAGATCAAAGAAAAACTCTGCGAAAGTAAGAGCGGGTACCTGTCAAATTCAGGTACCCGCTCCCCCTCCCTCCCCAAAGGTCAGCAGTCATCTCCTGTACTGTCCACAGTCATCATCCCTGTACTGTCCACATCTCCTGGTCTGGTCATCCCTGTACTGTCCGCAGTCTCTGGTCATCCCTGTACTGTGTCCGCAGTCTCTGGTCATCTCCTGTACTGTGTCCGCAGTCTGGTCACTCCTGTACTGTGTCAGTCTCTGGTCATCTCCTGTACTGTGTCCGCAGTCTCTGGTCATCTCCTGTACTGTGTCCGCAGTCTCTGGTCATCTCCTGTACTGTGTCCGCAGTCTCTGGTCATCTCCTGTACTGTGTCCGCAGTCTCTGGTCATCTCCTGTACTGTGTCCGCAGTCTCTGGTCATCTCCTGTACTGTGTCCGCAGTCTCTGGTCATCTCCTGTACTGTGTCCGCAGTCTCTGTCATCTCCTGTACTGGTCATCTGGTCATCTCCTGTACTGTGTCCGCAGTCTCTGGTCATCTCCTGTACTGTGTCCGCAGTCTCTGGTCATCTCCTGTACCGTGTCCGCAGTCTCTGGTCATCTCCTGTACTGTGTCCGCAGTCTCTGGTCATCTCCTGTACTGTGTCCGCAGTCTCTGGTCATCTCCTGTACTGTGTCCGCAGTCTCTGGTCATCTCCTGTACTGTGCCTGCAGTCTCTGGTCATTCCTGTACTGTGTCCGCAGTCTCTGGTCATCCCTGTGCTGTCCGCAGTCTCTGGTCATCCCTCTGCTGTCCGCAGTCTCTGGTCATCCCTGTGCTGTCCGCAGTCTCTGGTCATCCCTGTACTGTCCGCAGTCTCTGGTCCTCTCCTCTACTATGTCTGCAGTCCATTAGTTCAGAATTTTCTGCCTCTAAAACCTAGGTGTGTCTTATGGTCAGGTGCGTCTTATGGAGCGAAAAATACGGTATTTATTTGCAAACTTTTATAACAGAAACAAAAACTTGTTTTTTTTTGTTAATTTAGCAAAAAATAAAAACCCCAGCGGCGATTAAATACTACTACCAAAAGAAAGCTCTAGTTGTGTGAAGAAAATGGTAAAATTTTATTTTGGGTACAATTTTGTATGACTGCACAATTGTCATTCAAAATGTGAGAGCGCTGAAAACTGGCCTGGGCAGGAAGGTGTAAAATTGCCCAGTATTGAATTGGTTAAACATCAGCTACTACCACTGTATGTACTTTCAACCCTGTCTTACACTTTAGTACAGATGTTGACTACAAGTTCATAACAGCCCACTAGTATATTGCCCCAGTGGCGGGTGGCCTCAAACTCGATTGTCTGTTTATTGTCCACAGCAGTCACGTTTAGAATATGCATTCTCATTGACTATATTTTTCAGTAGCCTACTTCTGAGTGATACATGTCTGATGGTTGTAAAAATATGCTTTATTTCTGCTTTTTAATAGAGCCTAGGAAAACTGCAGCCTCCATCTCTAATTAATAGATTCTGAAATACCTTGATATTAGATTCGGTCTTCCAGGTGGGGTACTGCATTGTGTCTTTAACTGTGAGATTACTGTGCTTCAGATACAATCACAACTCTATCCAGTGATTAAAAAAAAAATTGTATTAAGTTCAGGTATGGTGTCCATACGATTTACAGCAATGGAAAAAGTAAATTGTGTGCAAAAAGCTTTTCAACCTCTTTGGAGATGGAGTAAAGAAAATAAGTACAATTTTATTATATTGTATAACAAAATGTTAATTTACAGATAGGCATTTATGTGATTTGTAAGTTTTCCACCAGCTGTCATATACCAGATTATCCAAAATAGGGCAATACCATGAAATGGTTATATAGTTAAAAATAGTTATTTAGGTTGAAAGACAATTATCCAGCCATCATTTCAGCTATTAAAAATTAAGACTAAAATACCCTATTTTCCGGCGTATAAGATGACTGGGCGTATAAGACGACCCCCTACTTTTCCTGTTAATATATAGGGTTTGGGCTATATTTGCTGTATAAGACTACCCTTCTTCCAACGCACACCAAATAAAAATTAAAAAACATCAGATTTGATTTCAATATGGTATGGTATTCCAATGATGGGGTGCTATTCCTCCCACTGACACCAATGATGTGGCACGATTCCTCCCACTGACACCAATGATGGGGCACTATTCCTCCCACTGCCACCAATGATGGACACTATTCCTCCCACTGACACCATTAAGGGGCACTATTCCTCCCACTGACACCAATGATGGTGCCCCCATCATTAGTGTCAGTGTGTGAGGAATAGTGTACCATCATTCGTGTCAGTGGGAGGAATAGCAGCCTATCATTGGTGTCAGTGGGAGGAATAGCGCCCCATCATTGGTATCAGTGGCAGGAATAGCGCCCCATCATTGGTATCAGTGGGAGGAATAGTGCCCCATCATTGGTATCAGTGGGAGGAATAGTGCCCCATCATTGGTATCAGTGGGGGGAATAGTGCCCCGTCATTGG